ATATGTTTCTGTTTGCGCGCAATGCAGTGTGTCTGGCTGCGTGCCTGTGTGTTTGTGTGCTGTATCCGAAGGGCACTAGGACCGCTCAGTTGACAGGGCAGGCACAATGCTCGCACGTGTGTGTGTGAGATTTTCTCCGGTGGGCCGCGGGCGCGGCATCATTGTTTGTGTGGCATGTCAGCCTGTTCAGTCGTGTGGGGAAATGAGCGCTGCCGGTGGAGGAGGTGATAATGAAAGAGGAGAAGAGAGAGAGGATGTGGTTCTGGGCCCTTCTAAAAAGAAAAGACTTGTGTCTTACAACAAACAGTGGAAGAAAAACACAGTTGGGTAAAGCCCGTGAGTGGCGATCTGTCTCGGGTCAGCCAATTGTACATCGAGGTGCCCAGATGTCCCTAGTGCCCACCTATCCGATTTGAACATGCTGATGTACAATGTGATGTAGTAGCCTAATGCAGGTGTAAAATCAATCATTGTGTTTGTATTGTGTTATAGGTATGCATAGTTTTCTATGCATTTTGAGGGTTTTGGGGGGATTGACCCCTCGAACCCTAGGGGGCTGGCTCCCCCAAAATAATTAAATAACATAACCCTAACCCTAAAACCGAAATAAAGTAACAAAAAAAAGTAACTAAACCCGCCAGAAACCCGAAAATCTTCGCGCGCGCGCGGGGGACACGTGCCTGTGTCCCGTTTCTTCATGTCTGGAAGTTGGCAACTCTAGGTGGGTTACATCTCAGAGAACACTGTTTACATGTCGATTGTAGATTCATTTAAAGCCACAGGTTGGTTGATGCTCGTGCAGGGTTTCGACTGTAAATTCGACTTGTTTGTCTTACTGCCAGAAATTCAGCGATGTAATTATAGCAAATCCTCTATTAGTATGTAGGGACTGCTGTGCTCATCCACAGGTGCTTTCAATTTGTTTCCCTGGTTACACCTCATCTCCGGAGTGTGTGTGTGTGTTCGTGTGTGTGGTGTGTGTGTGTTGTGTGTGTTGTGTGTGGTGTGTGTGTGTGTGTGTGTGTGTGTGTGTGTGTGTGTGTGTGTGTATATGTGTGTGTGTGTATATGTGTGTGTATATGGCTGTGTGTGTGTACATGTGTGTATATGTGTGTATATGTCTGTGTATGTGTGTGTATACGTGTGTATATGTGTGTGTCTATGTGTGTCTATATGTGTGTGTGTGTGTGTGTATGTGTATGTGTGTGTGTATATGTGTGTGTGTATGTGTGTGTGTGTATATGTGTGTGTGTGTGTGTACATGTGTGTGTGTATATGTGTGTGTGTGTGTGGTTAATTTGCTGCACCTGTGGATGCCGCGTCGGACTCCTCATTATTCTCTGTCTTTATCGATTCTTGTAACCGTTTTTCAATCCCTCTTTATTCTGTTGTTCTGTTTGTGTTCTTGTTAATGGTTCTTTTGGAAACTACATTTTAATATCAGAGACACTGCCTCGTAAAGATAAAATCAAATCAAAAATAAAACGAGCATTACAACTGAAGCGTGTGTACCGTTGTTTCATTTCCTTTCTCCCAAGTAACTGGAAAAGCCACTGAATTTCTTGCTTTGTACCTTAATAAACTGTTGAATGATCATTGGAGCGAGGGACAGGGACTCTTGACAGTTTAATTCAAAAGAAAACTCCATCTGACACCTCATGGAAATAACGAGGCTCGTGGACAGTACGCAATCTCCGGGTTGTAGACATGTTGAGAGCGGACGACGTTAAGCATTAATGACTTTAGCCATATCCCTTTTCAAGGCATTGTTTTACCAGCTGACACGCAGCCTATTAACACGGGAGTTTCACGTCGGAGACAGACAACAGTTCATCTGAAGAGTTGTTTTCTTATTTACCATGTAGTGAAAAAGATGTGTAATGTTAGTTAGTTAGTGTTACGGCCACAGCATTAAAACACATTGTGAGCCACAACATAGATTTAAAACGTTAGAGTTTAAAACAACCACAAGATGTTATGAGCATTTTTAAAGCAACTTTAAATGATAGCAATCTGGAGGACTGGCCAATAAGAACAGAAAAATGAAGTAAGCCTGGGTCAGCCACACCATCGGCGTAGGACCCAGGACCTGTTCAATCGTAACGACAGATAACTGACTGCTGTCAGGCGACAGAAATCTCTAAAAACGGGGAACAACGGAGCTGATCCAGATTTGAGTCCGATATGACGCAATATCTGAAATGTGGACCCACGGCCCAATCAGAAACGTTGCTATCAGAAACAATGCCTGACGTGTTTTGGAAGTAATATGGTCGGTGTTTACATTAGCATCGCTAACACTCAGAGCTAACCTGTACTGGAGAGCATGTGTGTGAAGAAGCAGGAAATAAAAGGAACTCACCTTGTGGTAAACCTGAGAAAGTGGTTTGGAACATGATATGGAGTTTAATCACAGCAGCATTTAGCTGAGTAGAATTAAGCACAAGCTCTCCCTCCTTTTTTTTTTTTCAAGCCTTAGACCCAAAATCCGCGCTTCTCTAACAGGGCTGGAGGGATATGAGGGATTTTGAGCAAAACACATCATAGACATGTTTTCATATATTTGTATATATCTGAGACCCATAATATATGCCTACAAATAGCATAATAGGAGACCTTTAAACGGTGATTAGCTGAGATCAGGTGCACCTTTGCAGGGAGAAGAGAGAGAACAAAAAGGGGGGAGTGCGTTAGAAAGATATCGACGGATTCGAACTTGACCGAACGATAATTAACGCTTCTTATAGATCTCAAGTCGCTGCTAATTGCTCCCGAAACAGGAAACTTGGCTCCTGTGTGTGTGTGTGTGTGTGTGTGTGTGTGTGTGTGTGTGTGTGTGTGTGTGTGTGTGTGTGTGTGTGTGTTGTGTGTGTGTGTGTGTGTGTGTGTGTGTGTGTGTGTGTGTGTGTGTGTGTGTGTGTGTGTGTGTGTGTGTGTGTGTGTGTGTGTGTGTGTGTGTGTGTGTGTGTGTGTGTGTGGTGTCATTCCTACTCTGATGAAAGCTCCTGGGCTTCGCGTATTTAGTGGGATTAACATAATTGTAGTTAATAACCAAGAAAAAGACCCATGAGTCTCTCGTCTGCATGGCCGCAGAGGGGGAAGCAGATTATCCCTAGAGTCAAGGGGTCTCACACACACACACACACACACACACACACACATGAGTATATCAACAGCCCCTATTAACCTGCACACACGTAACAGGATTAAACGCTGTGTCCGTGCTAGATTACCAAATAATTGGCTAAATGCAGAAACTGTCATATTTAATTATTTCAATTAGCGGTGAAATTGATTGGACGGTTATTGGATCGGAGGTCTAGCGGAGGCCCCTCCCGTCTTTAATGAGTCCCTGGACCAGGAAGAAAAACTTCTAGTTTTATTACTTTCTACATCAATATTTCAGAGTTAGAGGGAGCAGGAACAATGGATTTAAAGGCATTATCTTTGAATCAATCTTGGCCATGCACTGCCACGGAAATGACCTTAAAAGGACGTTAATATGCATGTTGGACGTTGCACTAAAGACACGTTTAGTATGCAGCGTAGCGCCGTGCTCCTACTTAAAGCATAAGGAATAGCTTTAACAATGTATGAAGAAACTGCTTAATGGTCGCTGGAGAGAGAAGTGACGAAGGAGAGTTTTCACCTGCCTCCTCAGTTCTCCTCAGTTCTCCTCAGTTCTCCTCAGCGCTACCGAGACATGATTTTTTTAGCAAATGACGTTGGTTATCCAGCCAACAACTCGCTCCAGTCTCACGGCTGTCCTTAGCAACGTTTCTAGAGGAGCAGGTATCTGTTTGATGTGAGAAAGCTCTAATAAAATCACTGCAAACGTCGGATGTCTCCCATTGTCTTTGTAGATCTAAACGTGTCTACGGTTCTTCTTCCAAGGCTTTTTTTGGACTCAAGTGTTTGGATATTGTTGAAGAACTTTCTCAGCGATATCCTGACAACAACAACCACCTGTGTTGTTCAGAGGTGGGAAGTAGTGGAGTACAAATACTTTGTTACTGTACTTAAGTACATTTTTCTATACTTTACTCCACTACTTATTTTTCTGCCGACTTTTTACTTTTTACTTCTTACATGTTGAACTCAAATACCTGTACTTTCTACTTCTTACATGTTGAACCTAAATACCTGAACTTTCTACTTCTCTCATGTTGAACCCAAATACCTGTACTTTCTACTTCTCTCATGTTGAACTCAAATACCTGTACTTTCTACTTCTTACATGTTGAACCTAAATACCTGAACTTTCTACTTCTCTCATGTTGAACCCAAATACCTGTACTTTCTACTTCTTACATGTTGAACTCAAATACCTGTACTTTCTACTTCTTACATTTTGAACCCAAATACCTGTACTTTCTACTTCTCACATGTTGAACTCAAATACCTGTACTTTCTACTTCTTACATGTTGAACTCAAATACCTGTACTTTCTTACTTCTTACATGTTGAACTCAAATACCTGTACTTTCTACTTCTTACATGTTGAACTCAAATACCTGTACTTTCTACTTCTCACATGTTGAACTCAAATACCTGTACTTTCTACTTCTCACATGTTGAACACAAATACCTGTACTTTCTACTTCTCACATGTTGAACTCAAATACCTGTACTTTCTACTTCTCTCATTTTCCAAACAGCTGGTTCCTTTAGTCTGAATGTGTGTTTGATGCGTGATCATTATTCTTTAGAGTCATTGCGTGCCTATTGATTTGAACACGATCCGTGTATCCATCATTTCCTGGTCTTCTCTAAAGAAGAGGGACCAATGGAAACGTTGTCATGTTGCCGTTGTTCAGCATGGAAACATTCATTAGCTAACAATGACATTATTACAGTACATTTCAAAGCCTCTTTACTTTGACTTGAGCAAAGAAGTTTAGTGAGTACTTCTACTTTCACCAGAGTACTTTCAAACACGAGTATCTGAACTTCTACTTGAGTAAAGGATGTGTGTACTTTGCCCTCTGGTGTTGTTGCAGGTACTACGTGTGTGTGGCCATCCTGATCTACTTCCTGCCTCTGCTGGTGATGGGATGTGCTTATCTGGTGGTGGGACTCACTCTCTGGGCCAGTGAAATCCCCGGAGACTCTTCTGACCGCTACAAGGAGCAGCTGACCGCCAAACGCAAGGTAACCATGTTACGATTATTGTGTTATGTCACGTTTTCTATGTCTTGTTTTGGGTGTTTTGCTGTTCTCCCTGTCGTGTTTTCCTCTGGGTTTATTGTCTGGTCCTTTTCCCTGTGTTTTTCCTCCTGTCGTTAGTTTCCCTGGTGTGTCTCGTTGTCTGATTGTGTTCACCTGTGGCCCTTGTGTTTCTCCTCCCCTGCCCGGCTGTGTCTCGTCTTGTGATTACCCCTCCCTGTATTTAGTCTTGTCTCTTCCTGTGTTCAGTGTCGGTTCGTCTTGTGTCATGACTAGTTCGTCGGTGAGTGTTCTGTTTTGTCTTTGTTTATCACCTAGCCTTGAAATAAAGGAATTCTCACTTTAATCTGCATTTGGGTCCTGCCTGCTTCACACACCGTAACAAACCAGGAGTCAAACAACACTTTTAGCGGTGGTACGTTCAGCAGCCATTGAAGTCTTCACAGGTTTTAAGTGAATCATCGGAGACGTTGTGCTTGCTTGCTCCTTTATAACTAAAATGTCCCTGCCTTCATAGCACCTTCTAAATAAGACTATCACACCAGGAATGAGCCCAGCCTCTTTATTGTCACACGTATATTTTCATACATCGAGCAGATTGGTACTTCCACTGCACTTTCTACTACTTTGTGCATTGCTTTGTCACCCTTATCTTTGAGCTTTATAGACTTTTATAGCATTTAAAAAAGAATCTGCATTACTCTCGGTTAAATCTATGATGAGAAGCTGAAGAATTTACGTTTGAAGCGTACGAAGGCGTTTCATTCACTTTAATCAAACATGTGGAGCTTATGAGTATATAAGGACACAACATGGTCTGTCTGTTAACAGATGATAGATAGATGGAGATTGCACTACATCGGGGTGTTGCTGTCTTTTCCCTCCAGTAATGGAAAGATCCCCACCGCCCGCTCGGCCTTCATCTCTTCTTTGATGGTTTTCAGCCTACCTGTTGTTTCGTCAGCACACTGCAGTCTCTTCTTCTCCTTGTCATCACCTCTCTACCTGTTTATTCCTTTTTCGAGCCCATGCCTGTCGGGTGTTTTCACAGCTTCAGTATTGCAGTTTCTTCAAGATTACTCTGCCAACAAAGACACTTGCAGAGACTTGCTCTTCTCACCCCACATCATGAAGTGAGAGTCGCACTCAGACTCACTAAGGCTTCTCTGCACTGATGAGATCAGGTCCTGCTGCGCCGTCTCTGAAAATGTAGTTTGGTAGATTTAACTCCACTATTTAATCGTATTTCATTGCATTTTCTTCAGAATACCTTTATTCGTCCCAGAGGGGAAATGTGCATGTGTTACAGCAGAAAAGAGCCAAAGACAGCTTAATGTTAACTAAGAAGCATGCATACAAAATATATTAACGATACTTTTTTTATTTGACATTACACAATTTACAAAATACACTTCCTTAAGTTTAGATTTCTCCTTCAATGTGGGTTGTGTTTTCTTTATTAATCTGTTTGTAGCCAGTCTATATAATGTGGCTTGGTCAGTTGGTACCTCCCGTTGCAACACCCTGAAATATCTCAACGAGGATTTGATGGATTGCAAAAGAGAGGTGCAGCAATGAGACCTCAAACCCGGAAAGACTTGGCATCGTCACAAATTCAATGCTTTTTAACCTGTTTTTGTTTACAAGCCTTAAATAAGATCTGTGGTTCACGCCCCTAACAAGTGTCTAAAGTGGACGGCTAAACGCCATCACTGAACCAGTCTACATTACACCAGGTTTTACAGACATTCATGTTCCCCAGAGGATGGATCCTGATGACTCTGGCTATGAGCTTGTGGGTTTGAGTACAACTTTTCAACGGCTATCATACACCTCTGGGGAAGAATATACTGTTATGGTTGCACATTTTCATTTACCACCATCATCAGGTTATAAACTTGATATTAGAGGCTTCTCAATACTCAAATTTCCCCTCCTCGACTCCCCTCCTCGATACTTAGACCCGCCCACAGGAGATGCGAGCGGAGGACCGAGGAGGGGAACCGAGGAGAGAGGAGGGGAAGCAGCAGGCGTTTAAAGAAATGAGAACTCCTCTCCTCTGAGCGGTCATATTAAAGAGACGTCCGTTCATTATTACGTGGCAACAGCTGCATCAGCTGTCGAGTGTTTTGTCATAGCGCTGTATCTCTGTTAGATCAGCTGAACATTGTTCCCCCACATATTTACTTTGAATTCATTGAGAGTGCGGTATAATGAGACAATAACAGGCTACAGACACACACAGAAATATATTTATATAAATATATACAATTTAAAGTATGAGAGCACTCTCATAATAACGTAACACAATCAGAGACTGAATATATCCCCCCCCCCCCCCTCTCTCTGTCGCTGAAATGGGGAATTGAAATTACGGGCCAAAAGTTGTATTTACAAGTATTAACTTGTAATAATAATAAGCCACTTACAATTTTCCGTGAGATCAGGGAGCAGATATAAGATGGAAGTTTCCCTAACATACAAAGCCATGTTAGGGAAACTTCCATCTTATATCTGCTCCCTGATCTCACGGAGAATTGTAAGTGGCTACTGCCTGAGATCGCATGCTGTGGTTTTATTAAATGAGCCAACTGCTAGGACTGTCTTAGGGAAGACAGCTTTTAGATGCGCAGCTCCTCTGTCTTGGAATAGTCTGCAAATTAAATGGAAACTGAACAATCTGGTGCCACTAAATGTTTTTAAAGCTCGGTTGGATGCTACTCAATCGGAAGCTGTTGGTACCTGTTTATGTGGATCATTATGTAAATGATGCTGTATGATGTCCTTTTGTTGTTCTATTTATGTTTTTATGTTTCATGTGGAACTACTTGAGCAGGTCTCCCTTGAAAAAGAGATCAATGATCTCAATGGGATTTATCTGTATAAATAAAGATTTGAAATTAAATTAAAAGTAAGCAGAGGACACCAAACCAACTGAGACCCGTCTGTCCGCCGCATCTACGCACTGTACAACACACACCTACATACTGTACCACACACACACCACACACACACATACACAATGCCTACAACACACACTTACAGCTCCTAAAGCATAATCAGGCTACAGCCGTTGTGTATTTTATTATGTGACGCACTAAATGGTCTTAGAAAAATATCGACTCTTTGTACTACAGCAAATAAAGAGAGTAATGTACTGTAGGCCTGTTATACTGAGTGATATTGTACACTGCTCTGCTTTCTGCACGGACCTCACAGCTGTTCTCACTGTAAACATCGCAACGCGATTAAAGCAGTTTCTAAAATAATATCCAGGGGATGCATGCAGAGCTGTCATTGGCTGAGATAAGTCCGGCCGTGCGTCACGCCTCCACCGTTCCCGGAAATGCATCCGCGGAGGAGCCGTGGAGGAACCATCAGTGTATCCTCGGTTATAGCTCCTCCAGAGAGCCTCCTCGACGCTCGATCCTCGGTCCTCGGTGTGCATTTAGAGAAATGAGACGTCCTTCAAAATGGCTCGCTGAAATTCATTTCCGGGTCACTACCGGAGGACCGAGGACCGAGGAGTCGAAGAGGGGAAATTTGAGTATTGAGAAGCCTCTATTGTAAGGGAAACTTCTGCAGCAATGGAGAGTCAGGACTCAGAGAGACACGAGGAGAGTTGGAGCTTTGATGTCAAACACTGATAGTTTATTACAAGGATACGGCCGGAGAATTCATATCACAAGTCACAGCAGCAAAAGGTTCTGACTGCACGGTGGGTTGTCATGTCAATTCTGACCAGCCTCGCATCTTGGTAGACCCTTTAACTAGTTTACAGAGAGTCAATCCACATATTGGGGGAAGGTACGTGAACACCTGGAGACACTGAATCACTTATCTGACTCTTAGGCTCTGTGACCGAGAATTGACCGGTCATAAAACTGGTAATGTCAACAATAGCTGAGACTTCCCATTCCTTAAGACAGATAACAGACTTAGGGTTCATCGTAAATGTCAACAGGCAGAAAGGTTAAATATCTTAGGAGTAAGGAAGAATTATTCTTTGACACTTAGGAGTAAGGCAGAAATATTCCCTTACAGATATGTTATGACCATTTTTGGCTGGTGGAGGTCTGCTTTTTTCTAGTTTACATTTCTTTTATTTATTCCGAAATAAAGGTGTCAGTGAATTCTAGGAACAAATTACACTAGAGAAATAGTCAGAATTCTGAGATAAATCTGACTTCACAAATTCTAAGCCCACCTCCAGCAGAGACAGGAAGTAGATAATTGATTGTAAATGTCCCCGCTGTGGGATTAATAAAGGATTTGAGATTCTGAGATCAGGATGGCCACGCACTCTTATACCTTCAACTGATCACACATCCAATATCACATTAAGTGTTACAATGTGTGAGCTTTAAATTATTTTCAGTCACTCTGAAGAACTTCCACACCTACAACATCATGGTGAGGCTGTTCTGTTAAAGCTGTATGCGCTTACTTTGACTTGCAAATATCTTAAATAACACTTTTCAAACACGTACTGCAAACACACCAACTGGCTGACTTAAGGAATCTCTTAATGATGTGCAGGAAAGCAGTCCGCCTCCGATAATGAGGCATCTTCACACATCCTTAACGTCTGTCATGTGCAACCTTTTAAATTCAGTATCTCTCTGTTACAGACAGCACTCATGATGTGTTGTGTTGAAAGATAACCATTTAAAATCCACTGGTTTTTTTCTGGACTGACAGATTTGTTTCCTCTTATTGTTATAGAAGTGTGTGTGTGAGTCCCCAGAGGAGACAATCAACATCAACACATTACAAAAACAAGCAGAAACCTGACATCACATAACGGTTTTGTTAACACAAATGTATTAAATATTATTCATGGCGCAAGCATACCGCTGCACTTTTCATGACATTGAGGTGTCTGGGGGCTAATTTGCAATTCCCTCCAGCCGTTCATGTCGGAAAAATACAAAATCCAGAGTGTGTCTGGGAAGCAAAACTGTAAAAATGGAGACAAATTGGGTCTGTTGTGTGTCCCAACAGCAGAGGTGGGAGTAGTGGAGTACAAATACTTTGCTTCTGAACTTAAGTACATGTTTCTGGTATCAGTACTTTACTCCACTGCTTATTTTTCTGACGACTTTTTACTTTGACTTCTTACATGTTGAACCCAAATACCTGTACTTTCTACTTCTTACATGTTGAACCCAAATACGTGTACTTTCTACTTCTTACATGTTGAACCCAAATACCTGTACTTTCTACTTCTTACATGTTGAACTCAAATACCTGTACTTTCTACTTCTTACATGTTGAACTCAAATACCTGTACTTTCTACTTCTTACATGTTGAACTCAAATACCTGTACTTTCTACTTCTTACATGTTGAACACAAATACCTGTACTTTCTACTTCTTACATGTTGAACTCAAATACCTGTACTTTCTACTTCTTACATGTTGAACTCAAATACCTGTACTTTCTACTTCTTACATGTTGAACACAAATACCTGTACTTTCTACTTCTTACATGTTGAACTCAAATACCTGTACTTTCTACTTCTTACATGTTGAACTCAAATACCTGTACTTTCTACTTCTTACATGTTGAACTCAAATACCTGTACTTTCTACTTCTTACATGTTGAACTCAAATACCTGTACTTTCTACTTCTTACATGTTGAACACAAATACCTGTACTTTCTACTTCTTACATGTTGAACTCATATACCTGTACTTTCTACTTCTTACATGTTGAACTCAAATACCTGTACTTTCTACTTCTTACATGTTGAACTCAAATACCTGTACTTTCTACTTCTCACATGTTGAACTCAAATACCTGTACTTTCTACTTCTCTCATTTCCCAAACAGCTGGTTCCTTTAGTTTGAATGTGTGTTTGATGCGTGATCATTATTCTTTAGAGTCATTGCGTGCCTATTGATTTGAACACGATCCGTGTATCCATCATTTCCTGGTCTTCTCTAAAGAAGAGGGACCAATGGAAACGTTGTCATGTTGCCGTTGTTCAGCATGGAAACATTCATTAGCTAACAATGACATTATTGTTCTATTAATATAAAGGGAGGTCAGGTACTCTTTAAAACAGCTGCTAGTTATGGGTACTTTTTACTGAAGTACATTTCAAAGCCTCTTTACTTTCACTTGAGTAAAGAAGTTTAGTCAGTACTTCTACTTTCACCAGAGTATTTTCAAACACGAGTATCTGTACTTCTACTTGAGTAAAGGATGTGTGCACTTTTGCCCTCTCTGCCCAACAGGTGGTGAAGATGATGATCACGGTGGTTTGTACGTTTGCCTTCTGCTGGCTGCCGTACCACGTCTACTTCCTGCTGCACCAGTTCTTTCCGGACATGTTTGAGGAAAGGTTTATCCAGCAGGTGTACCTGGGCATCATGTGGCTGGCCATGAGCTCCACCATGTACAACCCCATCATCTACTGCTGCCTCAATGACAGGTCAGTCATCACACCACACACACACACACACACACACACACACACACACACACACACACACACACCACACACACACACACACACACACACACACACACACACACACACACACACACACACACACACACACACACACACACACACACACACACACACACACACACACACACACACATATATATTATTACCCATTTACTGTAAATGCCCAAGAAAACAAGTTCAAATGATACCAACTTTACGATAGTTTTATATTTTCTCATTACAAAAGAAATATAGAAAAAGTTATTTATAGGCCCAATAGCAAAGTTATAATAGAGAACCTAAATAGAAGAGTAAAGTAGAAGATATTAATATAAGTAAGTGAATAACTACGGAGCCCTGGAGGGTTCATAGAGAGAAAAATAAATAAAACATGGCCACGTTTTACTTTCTCGTGCGCACGAGATATCTTCTCGTGCGCACGAGATATCTTCTCGTGCGCACGCTTTATTAACTCGTGCGCACGAGTTAATAAAGCGTGGCCTCAATTTAAATTGACTAGTTTTATGAAGTGTGTGTGTGTGTGTGTGTGTGTGTGTGTGTGTGTGTGTGTGTGTGTGTGTGTGTGTGTGTGTGTGTGTGTGTGTGTGTGTGTGTGTGTGTGTGTGTGTGTGTGTGTGTGTGTGTGTGTGTGTGTGTGTGTGTGTGTGTTGTGTGTGTGTGTGTGTGTGTGTGTGTGTGGTGTGTTTATGATAGTGTTGTTCATTCCGGTGCACTCCGGCAGGACTATAGCACTACATCGAGATTAAACACATTTCTTTCACTTGGGAATACACGTATAACTATGGAGAACCAGATTTGTGTAAATTACTGTTTGTGGTAATTTGAAAACAAATGCTGGTGGTGTCGGACACACACAAACACACCGAACACGCACACACAGAGCGGAGCTGAGCACAAACACATCATGCGCCCTGGTGACAGGACATCTCCTACCTACCCTGGTAGTTTGATGTGTGTAGAGGTGTGTGTGGTTAAACGTAGCAGCCTCGATCTCTATTCAGCGGTTCTAATGAAGGGACACACAGTGAAGTAACCAGTAAAAGGCACAGCTCTTTGCAGCTGGTGCTGCTCTTCTCAGATTCTGTTACTGGCTCCAGTGCCCTGTACGACGAAGCCAGTTCCACAGACCCTGGATATGTTTGATTTACCCGGCTTAACTAACCCTAACAAACGCGATCTCGCTAAGCGGTCCTACGAAGCTGGTTATCAACTCAGTAAATCAACCAGGGGTTTCTCTGCCCGGCTGAGAGCGCGCTCACGTGAAAGGGACGGGGTTAGCAACATTTGACCAATCACATACATGGAGACGCGTGCTGACAGCGCAGCGTCATACTTCATGAATGAATAGTGTAAATAGCAAATCCTGCTTCGTAGTACAGGCCACGCTTTTAACGAGTTAATAAAGCGTGGCCTCGTTTTATTAATTTGTCTCTCTAACCCTCCAGGGCTCCGTAAATAACAACAGTATCTACAGTGTCTTCAAGTGGTACAAAAAGTGGTAAAGTAATGACTAATGTCTGTTTTTGATGACTCATCCCTGCCACTCAATTGGTCATCAACATTGACAGAATGATACATTTGTAAGAAAACCATGACACACATATAAAAAAGGGTCATCCAATAGTATTTGTTCTCCTCTGACAAAATGAAGTAGTGGGAATTTGTCCACTTTTAAAGAAAAGCAAACATGATAACTCTTCAGGGGGAGAAAACACATTTTCTTGTTTTGAAGAAATCAAATTGTCCTTCAGGACTGCTGTCAATTACAGACACACACACACACACACACACACACACACACACACACACACACACTGAGGTACACTCATCACAACAACACCGTCCTCCAGCGCTGTCTCAATGATAAGTATCTACAGCTCGGCGGAGGACTCCTTATGCTCCGTTTCTCTGGAAAGAAATCAACTCTTCAAACTTTAAACCTCATGTCACTGATGCCCGCTGTGCACATCACCAGGTTTCCATCAAACTGGCGGTTATTAGCAATCTGCCTGCTTTGGATTCGCAGACTGCCATTGGTCAAATTAAGGCCGATGGTGAACTGAGTTTGTTTTCCTTTCATTCATCCATTGTGTTGCGTTGCAGACACCTGCTAATCGTCTTTGTGTTGTCAGAGAAATTGGATTTCACTCTCGGGTGTTTTCGCCTCCTAAAACAGTCCTACAATGGGAGCATGTGACCGCAGTTAGCCGAGGTCTAATCTTTATTCTGTGCAGGATAACGATCGGCCTTTGTCTCTTTCAGCTCAAGCGATTTAAATTCAAATGTGTGACCGACGATGGGCCCTCTTCTTTGATTTCCAAATGATCTCTTCTATCTCTCTCCCGCTCTCAGCAATAGACATTTCCCAATGACTTCACTTCCCTGTGTGGGCTCTCTGTGTGGTTTCCAGCCTCTCGAGAGTTCTTTATCTCAATCGCAAAATTCTCATTTCCTGTCAACTGTTCCTTCTGCTAAACATCAAGCAGTGGTAGAAATGAGTCCTGGTAGAAATGAGTCCCTCAATAAAGGTCATAATTAAATATCACGTGTAATATTTAATGTTAATCAACATAACACCGCTTTGGTTACACACTTGTTATGTACATTACACTCTCTGTTACTTCCAAGCTGTTGTAAATAATAAATACTCTTGTCAGATTGGGAAGGTTTCCAAGTTGGCTGCTTATCATAGTGTGAGGTACAAAAAACTATCGGCTGAATGTGTAAATATTGATTTGGTTTAGCATCACTGTTGTGGGGTTTTCGTTACTCTCTGAATTGTTTAAACTGCATTTCATCATCTAAGATTTAGCAGGATCTATGGATAAAGTACAATATGTGGCAGAAGCATTACGGTTTCTGTTTGTAGTCACGTTGGTTTTGCCCAATTATATTTGAGTTTGCTTTGGTTGTATGCACATAAACATCCCATGTGAGGAGCAAACAACTTCATTCTCGTATCTGTAATTGGTAATAAGGCTTTAAAATTAGCAGGGCCCTAAAAACCTAGTCTTTTCTCAAATATTCGCTGGCTTCCCCCAGACCTCAGAAGTATCGCTGTCGTGGGATTCCTGTAATAACAATCGTACCAATTACTTTTCGTATCACTAGAAATACATTATACTATCTGGATTTAATCCCAGCCGTATCTCCATAAACAGATCTATCATCATATGCAGGGTCTCTGTGGGACAATGTTTAGGTAGCAGAAGCATTGTTTCTGTTTGTAGTCAGAGAAGTATTGACCTATCATTTTTGACTTTGCTTTGGTTGTTTGGACATAAACATCCCATGTGAAGAGCAAACAACTTCATTCTCGCAACTGTAATTGGTAATGAGACTGAAACAAATTAGCAGCACCCCAAAAAACATTGTGGCATTCATTTTATTTCAAACCTTTATTTATACAGATAAATCCCATTGAGATCATTGAGCTCTTGCTTTTCTCTTTGAAAGTCATCACATAACGGCATTGTAATACACGGTTCGGCTGCATTGTATATTACAGATCTGCCGTAGCTCTTTATTTATAGAGCCCTGATGAGAAGACCTTTGGAAAAACTGAGAGAATGCCGCCGAAACTGAATACTTGACATGGATCATAAATATATTCAACAATTAAACAACATCTTCAATTTCTCTTCACACAATACGTCTCCTTGCAGTATCAACACTAATTCGGCTGACTTTTACATTTGATCTAATTCACAGATAGGTTATATTTACACCATAACGGTGCACAGCTGATATAAAAGGACTGTAGTTTTTAAAGATATTACTGATTTTCTTTGAATGTAAGAATGTAAATACTGAGTCTGAAATAGTATAGGAATATGCTGTAAAATTATGTGAAAGCATGAATAAAACTACACATCTTCAGATGTTGTACATACATAAGTGTGCTACACTAATAATACAAAGTTATTATGGCTGTGTGTACCTTGTGTGCACCGCCTAGTGGTTAAAGCACGTTATTGAATTATTGTGTTTTATTAAAAAAATATTAAGAGTACATACTTTCATAGGGGGAAAGTATAAATATAGAATATAAAAAGTCAAGAAGATACTATAAAGTGATCTCTACAATAAAACAGTTTAGTGCAGAATGTACAAAGATATTAATAGGAGGAGGTGCAAAACAGAAAAACGAATTAACCTTTATTTAAACATTAAATAACAGATTAAGGTCTTCTTTTAAATAAGACAAAAACGTTGGGGGTATCTATCTACAGATAAATATTAAGCCTGACAAAGTACTTAACGTCTAATATATTGCTTTCCTGCCATGTTAACTATGCTGAAGCACTTATTTTAACTGATATTATACATATGAATTATACTCGTATGTATGTAGATAGAATAAGAAATGTGCAGAATATGACAATTTGATGGTGGAGGTACACACATATTGATAGATGTCTTGTTCTATCCTGTTGAGGAACCTGTGACCCAAGTGTTTCATTCATTGCATAACTACACCGTAGTTGTGTATATGATATGTCAATAAACCTTTGAAAATCTTGAAAGGGATGTGCAAAATAGCCATAATATACAGTCTTTAATTAACTATTAGTAGAGAATAACGAGTAATGAATATACTTTATTACTCGTTTCCATTCATGTCAATTGCAGATACATGTTAGTCTTCTCAAGCACCAACTATCAAATATCTCTCCTGATTGTTGGCACTTGACAATCACCTTCCCTGAATTTTACTCAGGTGTAACTAAAGTCTGATTTAAGGGTTGTTTATATTTCACATAATTAATCAGAATCTGCAAAGTAACTCAAATACATGCAGTGGAGTAAAAATACCAGGTTAACCTCTGAATTGTAGTGGAGTAGAATTACAAAGTAACAATGAGCTGTCATGTGGGTATTAATGCTGCGCATTATGGACACAAGCGATTTTCACCCATTTATTAATTATATGATTTACATTTGATAACACCAATGTGTTTAATACTGGCAACTTCTAATTGTGGGAAAAACGAAAACGTTCAGTAGAGACGTCCCATAGAACATTTTGCGAAACACAATAGCCAGCATGTGTAGTTCTGGGGGGGGGCGTTCGATTCCAGTTTTGGATAGTCTGGCGTGGTTTCGTTCCATTTCACACAGCTGTTTGACGCTCTGCGTAACCTTACGGGGACTGTAGTCCTAAATGATAGCTGGGGATTATGGGTAGTGTAGTGTCTTCGGCCATCCTAAACTCAGAAATGTTGACAATCGCAATGATGCTCGAAATGTCCCTTATAGGCCTACGTCTGTTTCCGGTTATTTTTATTTTGAAATTCAGTTCCTGACGGACGCCAAAAAAGCCCGAGATTATGGAATTAAACCAATAAATAAAAGCAAGGATAATTGTGTGTTATTGGTGAGTAAATAACAGTGTGTTATTTTGAAAAGAATAACAAATTAGAAGGAAAAAAATATTTTAAAATACAGATTTCCGTATTCTGAGGCTCTGAGCCCCATTTATTTTCCTCACAGACGGCAACAAAAGTCCGAAATTATACGATTTAAAATAAAAGCAATAATTGTGGCTTGATATTGAGTAAGAACATGTTTTTATGAACCACACAGCTTCCGGTCTTCCTCGACCCTACCGGAGAAAAAGACGTGCTGCAGGCAGTAGAAATACATTGCTTTTAAAATCGTGCTGTGCAACACGAAAAAAAGGGGCAAATCGTGTTGGGGAACACGAATCAATAGATTAAAAATCGTGTTGGTGAACACGAATCAATAGATTAAAAATCGTGTTGGTGAACACGAAATGCCGTGAGACTGGGTTGTACATTTAGCGTGTTTATTGGATACTTGTAAAACTAATCTGGCTGTAGAAGCTATCGTCTGACAACCCAGTCTCACGGCATTTCGTGTTTTTAAAAGCAATGTAAATAATAACAAATTAGAAGGAAAAAAAGATTTTTAAAAATACAGATTTCAGTATTCTGAGGCTCTGAGCCATTTATTTTCCTCGCGGACGGCAAAAAAAGTCCGACATTATACAATTTTAAATAGAAACAATAATCGTGGCTTGATAGAGAGTAAGAACATGTTTTTATGAACCCCACAGCTTCCAAGACCCGACCGGACAAAAATACGTGGTGCAGGCAAGAAACAGACTACCAATAGAAATACATTGCTTTTAATATCGTTCCGTGTGACACGAATCAATAGATTCAAGTAATTTTGTGGCTATTACACGAAATGCCGTGAGACTGGGTTGCGTCTGATGATGATTTAGCTTAACATTAGCATAAAGTTAGCATGAGATATTTTGATCTCAAGGGGCTTTCACCTGGTTAGATAAAGGCTACAAACAAACATGTTTATTGGATACTTGTAAAACTAATCTGGCTGTAGACGTCATCTTGTAACTCCAACTACATATCTTGCATCCATAGTTGGTAATAAGGCTGTAACAAATTAGCAGCACCCAAAAAAACACATGTCTTTGCCCAGCTAGCTTAAAATGTGCTTGATGCTAGCTTGTAAACTGGACATAGACATCAATGTAAATTGGTAATAAGGCTTTAAAAAGTTATCAGTGCACGGAAAACAAAGTCCTTTCCCAAATATACCCTGTCTTCACCTGGACCCTAGAAATATGTGCTGTTGTCCCCAGAGGCTAATTGTCTTCAGACCGTTCCTAGATAGGGTTTATACCAAAATTAATGTTTAATAATAATAGATTTAGTTGATGATATGTCATGAAATGATATGACCAAATGAGGAATTAATAGCATGTATTTATTGTACTATTGTTTGCATGATTTCATTTGATCATTACTCTTGTCAGATTGATCTGTTGGGAAAATACTGAGTGTGCTCTTCCAACATGAGAGTAACATGATAACAAAGGTATCCCAACTGTAGCTGTGAACATGACAGGATGTATGATTACCTAGATTAGGGTGACCAGACGTCCCCGTTTTCCGGGGACAGTCCCCGTTTGTATTGCCCTGTCCCCGGTTGAAACTGTCCCCGGAAATGTCCCCGTTTTTTAATATACGTTAAAAACACATAGCAAGGTGAAATAAAACGTTTCATGTCAGGAAACACTGGGTAAACAGACTGCGGTCGAGCCAGCACCCACTTCGGAAAACGCAGTCAAGCCAGCCCGCACGTTGTATTGCGGTGCGCGAATATCCTATGCATTACGGTAGAGGCCTGTAAAAACTGCCTTCAAAATAAAAGCGTTTACTCGGTCAATAACAAATATACCTAAAAAACACACCTAACATATTCATATATACTGGAGCTTAAATTAAGAAATATGTACTATATAATGTGATCAATAATAATGTAAAACAAACTACGTATAACTACCACATTATAACTGAGTGAATGTAAAATGTAAGTATACAGTTATGAAGACATATCTGACATTTCCACAGGGTGACTAATTTCAATTGATGTTGACACCATCTCACAACACTCCTAAAATAACATTACTTTCTGAAGCACCATTTAAAATGTATGCTGTTTAAAATCTCAAATTAGATCTATTGTCCATCTATATTTTTATTATTATTTAATGGAAACTGTCCATAATCAAAGAGTCACTCGAAGTCAATCAAATACTTATTTCACTTCAGGGTGATAGCAGGGCACCCCATCTAATCACTCAGAGAGAATCAGGACAATCTGATGTACAGTTTCAAAATAAAAGACCTGAAGTCTCATATATGGGCTATCGTCCTTCTGTTTGTATCCAACAGTTAAAATGTTCGAATTACATTGAACCAGAATTGTCCCCCTTTTTTCTTTAACAGTGAAGAATATTGGATATGTTAATGAGATATTGACCGCAAAACTCAAAATGTCCCCGGTTTTAATTTTGACAATCTGGTCACCTTAACCTAGAAGAGCATCAGGACTGTTTGAGGCATATGATAGCTATGTGATTAACATGATGATTCAGCCTCTATGGAGATAGACATCAAGCATGCTCATTTCTGACGTGGAGCTAATCTGAAGTAAACATTGAATACTGCTTTCTAATCCTCCATCTTGTGACTGTGTAACTCCCTCTCTTGGATATCAGCATGTGAAGGACACTGTTCAGGAACTAGTTGATGCTCTGTATGTGAAGACTACTTCCATTCTGGAGAGGATCACAGATACATGGATCCTGAGATTGAAGATCAAGCCGGTGACGAGTGAGATTTTTCAATAAACGAAACTAAATGAGACTAATCTGTCCTTTTCTTGCACAGGTTTCGCGCTGGTTTCAAACAGGCTTTCCGCTTCTGCCCCTGCGTCCCTCGAGGATCTTACGAAGGTCTGGAGATGAAGTCCACTCGCTATCTTCAGACCCAAACCAGTGTTTATAAAGCCAGCCGGATGGAGACCACCGTGTCCACCGTCCTGCAGGTGGGAGGAGAGGACAAAAGTACACACATCCTTTACTCAAGTAGAAGTACAGATACTCGTGTTAAAAATACTCTGATAAAAGTAGAAGTACTGACTAAACTTCTTTACTCAAGTAAAAGTAAAGAGGCTTTAAAATGTACTTAAAGGGGACCTATTATGCTAAATGCACTTTGTGATGTCTTTTATACATACATATGTGAACTCACGCAGCGTCAGAAAATAAAACCCTCTCTCTTTTCCTCCATACCCAAATCTTTTAAAAACGGGTGTACAACGAGCGGATACAGATTTCCATCCACTGTGACGTCGGCGGACCCACAGAAAGTTGCTATCAGAAACAATGCCTGACGTGTTTTGGACGTAATCTCGTCTTTGTTTACATTAGCAAGCCTCGCTAACACTCAGAGCTAACCTGTACTGGAGAGCACATGTGTTTTAAAAAGCAGGAAATAAAAAAAGGAACTCACCTTGTGATAAACCCGCAAGAGAAAAAGCATTTAATCCTTGATGTGGTTTAGAACAGGATGGCGTTTTATCACAGCAGAATTTAACTTTATCTCCGGTAGAATTCTGATCAGGCATTAGCTCCGCCTAATCTTTTTTCTTTTTTTCAAGCTAAGGACCCAAGATCCGCGTTTCTCTAACAGGGCTTCAAAAGAGGGGTTTGAGCAGAATGAGGCACGGCTACAATGGAGGATCTGTTTGGTATTTTAAGCACAACACTTCACAGACATGTTTTGTATAGGTATGGCCCTACAATATATATTTCAAATATAGCATGATAGGTCCACTTTAAGTCAAAAGTATCCCTAACTACCAGCTGTTTTAAAGAGCAACTGACCTCCCTTTATATTAATAGAACAATAATGTCATTGTTAGCTAATAGGGATGTAACAATATACCGAATATCGCGGTATGGTGATTAATAAATGCCCCAATACCGTCGTGAGACTGACAAATTATTATTATTATTTATTTTTTTTTTAACTAAATTTCTATATGCATGCACCTCGCAGGAGCACGCACAGCGTAAAGCAAAAACTTCCAGATATTTCAATGATCTGTACAGCAAAGTACGGTTTGGAAACTATATAATTTCCTTTTGGAGGGCATGCATAACACGGCATAACACCAGAGCCTCGCTGCGGGGAAACGTTGGCGCTGTTCCGAGTTTGTTCTAATCCGTCAAAAATGCTTTCAGATGTTTCCGTCATTGTTTAAAAAAATATTCGGTTAACGCGACCACTGCTGTCCCAGGTCATCAGTACCAAGCGAGAGAGTTTTTTCCACAGCAGGGGATATTGTAAACGCCCAAACATCTTCTACCTGGAAATGTGGACATGCTCATATTCCTAAACACCTGTCTGATGATGCTGAGTGAGTGACTTAGTGAGTTTTACTGGTTTTCTTGTTCCAGTCTGTTACTGTCACTTTGTTTTTGACACATCAGATTTATTATTTAATAAAGAAATGTTTCCCCCCCCCCCCCTTATCACCTGAATCTCCTCCTAGAGCACCATTGAGTTCTTTGTAACCAAATGTCTCTCAGAGGGGCGTGGGGAGGGGCTCCTTATTTTCATCTAAAGTAACAGACAGAGAATCAGCACTTTGAAACATTACATTGCATTTAGCTGACGCTTTTATCCAAAGCGACTTACAATAAGTGCATTCGACCAACAAGATACAACCTTGAAGAAAACAGAATCATATAAGTACATCAGGTTTCATAGAGCAAAAACATTTCAAGTGCTACTCAACTGGCTTTAGATAAGCCAGTCCTTTATTAGTATATAAGTGCTTTGTTAGTAATTCTATCGCTCGAAGTGGAGTCGAAAGAGATGAGTTTTCAGTTTGCACCGGAAGATGTGCAAGCTATCTGCTGTCCTGATGTCAATGGGGAGCTCATTCCACCATTTTGGAGCCAGGACAGCAAACCCACGTGTTTTCGCCATTGGGAACTTGGGTCCCCTTCGCAGCGAGGGCGCAACGAGTCATTTGGCTGATGCAGAGCGTAGTGCACGCGCTGGGGTGTACGGTTTAACCATGTCCTGGATGTACGAAGGGCCAGATCCATTCGCAGCATGGTAAGCAAGTACCAGTGTCTTGAAGTGGATTCTAGCAGTTACCGGAAGCCAGTGAAGGGAGCGGAGGAGCGGAGTGGTGTGGGAGAATTTAGGAAGGTTGAAGACCAGACGAGCCGTTGCATTCTGGATGAGCTGCAGAGGTCGGATGGCACATGCAGGTAGACCAGCCAGGAGGGAGTTGCAGTAGTCTAGGCGTGAGATGACGAGAGCCTGGACCAGAACCTGAGTCGCTTTCTGAGTCAGCTGGGGACGCATCCTCCTGATGTTGTAAAGCGTGTATCTGCAGCAACGGGTTGTAGCAGCGATGTTTGCAGTGAAGGACAGGTTGTTATCTAGGGTCACACCCAGATTCCTTGCAGTCTGAGTCGGGGAAACCACTGAGGTGCCGATGTTGATTGTTAGGTCAAGAGTGGGACAATCTTTTCCCGGAAGGAAAAGCAGTTCAGTCTTGTCAAGGTTTTGGGGGCTGAACAGAGGGGATTATGGGATGCTGCAATCATCTGTTGGTGTTTCAGCCAATCAGAGACAGGTTCTGTATATATCTGAGACCTGTAATATATTGATGAAAAACAGGGGACCTTGAAGTGCAGTAACAAAGTATTTGCACTCCACCAGGTGGCGAACGACATGGAGCAGCAAAAGGTGAAGATGATACCATGTCCACGGCCCATTGAACCAGCAGTCGGTGCCAGCTCCTCTCTGGATCTCACCTCCAACGGCTCGTCCTCTCGGAGCGTCTCTAAAACGGTCTCAGAGACGTCCAGTTTCTACTCCAGCAACAACCTGCAGGAATAAAAACCTCAAACACGGCAGGAAGAGAGCGAGTTGATGTTCACATAGCTGCGTTTTCGCATGTGTGTAGTCATACAAAAGAACGGTGTGAATGTTCTGATGAATATATTTCCAGTGTGGAGCCAGTGACACGAAGTCCCTTTCCTTACCCACAATGCCCCTGTATAAAGTATTCATGTTGCTCGATGTTTGATGAGAGGTAATGACGAGCTCTTCTAGCCTCTATGTTTGTCACCACAGCTCCTCTCCATGCAGAGTGAAGGATCACACACTCAGTCACACATGCCGCGTGACTTCACATAGTCTATTTTCGAGTGGAGCTTCAACATTACACCAGTATGCTCCTTGTTCGTGTCGGAAAACTCTAACGAAGAAAAAACCTGGCTTTCACAGTTAGTCCCTCTCCGGAAGAAGCTAGGTAATGAAGACAGAAAAACATGTGTGTTAGAACGCTAACACACAACTCTCTGTCCGTCGTGAAGGATTAGTGTGTTGCCGAAGGAGTGCTCTAAGGACCCTCTTTCAACAGTTCTGATAAGTTTGAGCAATCATCCTAATAAACACTTTGGCTTTCATCTCGCTAAACGTCGACTTTAACTGCCAGGAGCATCATTCCTGAAATGATAAGAGGTGTGCTCCGAATGCTGAAGAGTTTCCTGCAGATCAATTCAGTTTCACAGTCATATCCCTTCCCCCCTCAAGCTCCCCCCTAACTCTCACCACCCCCTTCATAGGTCACATGACACGGGGTTGTGGTCTGAACGCAGGGCACCTCCTCTGAAACTGTGAGATGTTTCTGTAGCGCTCATTAGCTGCTCTTCACTTCCACCTGGTAGGAGCAAGCCCTCTGTGTCTTAAAGGGGACATGTTATGCTCATGTATCTGGGCTTCTACTAGGACATGATACTCTCTGTGGGAATATAGCTGATTTGAACCCAGTTGCCAGGTAACACAATATATGTTTCAGCAAAACTACCAATACATTTAAGTGCAACTTACAAAACGTATGTGTTTCATATCCGCCTTTTATTTGGCTTTCAGACTCAAACAATGCCTTGAGGTTTAAGATATGATAGGATTGGTTAGGTTTTATAAAAAGATAATGGGTTGGCTTTTAAATTAAGCATTCAAACATAGTGTCATGTGACTCAGTGAAGTAGCTTTGCATGGCATTACATTCTCGTTAAAAGCAAACTCAACTTAGTTTTCGGATCATACTGACATCACTAACTCTCACGCTCCTATTGGCTAGCGCTCCAACACATTGTACGTTATAGTCTAAGGGGCGGGACATCTCTAAGCGGTTGACCAATCACAACTGAGCCGGCCAGCTAACCAATCAGAGCAGACTGAGCTCTGGTTTCAGACAGAGGGTGAAAAGAGGTGCTGCAGCACATTAAACAATAAAGAGCCTTTTGAACATTAAAGCATGGAGACATGTAGAAACACTACATACTGATATACACCTGAACATCAGCAGGAGAGGACTCTTTAAAGTAGAGACACTACATACTGATATACACCTGAACATCAGCAGGAGAGGACTCTTTAAGTAGAGACACTACATACTGATATACACCTGAACATCAGCAGGAGAGGGACTCTTTAAGTAGAGACACTACAATACTGATATACACCTGACATCAGCAGGAGAGGACTCTTTAAAGTAGAGACACTACATACTGATATACACCTGAACATCAGCAGGAGAGGACTCTTTAAAGTAGAGACACTACATACTGATATACACCTGAACATCAGCAGGAGAGGACTCTTTAAAGTAGAGACACTACATACTGATATACACCTGAACATCAGCAGGAAAAGGACTCTTTAAAGTAGAGACACTACATACTGATATACACCTGAAACATCAGCAGGAGAGGACTCTTTAAAGTAGAGACAATACATACTGATATACACCTGAACATCAGCAGGAGAGGACTCTTTAAAGTAGAGACACTACATACTGATATACAGTACACCTGAACATCAGCAGGAGAGGACTCTTTAAAGTAGAGACACTACATACTGATATACAGTACACCTGAACATCAGCAGGAGAGGACTCTTTAAAGTAGAGACACTACATACTGATATACACCTGAACATCAGCAGGAGAGGACTCTTTAAAGTAGAGACACTACATACTGATATACACCTGAACATCAGCAGGAGAGGACTCTTTAAAGTAGAGACAATACATACTGATATACAGTACACCTGAACATCAGCAGGAGAGGACTCTTTAACGTAGAGACACTACATACTGATATACACCTGAACATCAGCAGGAGAGGACTCTTTAAAGTAGAGACAATACATACTGATATACACCTGAACATCAGCAGGAGAGGACTCTTTAACGTAGAGACACTACATACTGATATACACCTGGACCTCAGCAGGAGAGGACTCTTTAAAGTAGAGACACTACATATTGATATACACCTGAACATCAGCAGGAGAGGACTCTTTAAAGTGGAGACACTACATACTGATATACACCTGAACATCAGCAGGAGAGGACTCTTTAAAGTGGAGACACTACATACTGATATACACCTGAAAATGAGCAGATGTCCTCTTTAAGTTGTTTTTGCTGGGTTACATTCATTTGTACATTTACCTCCAGAACACACGAGTCCTTTCATCATTTGTGTGCTTTATATTTGTATTTACTGTATACGTTAGACTAACCTTCACCTCTCTCACATATCCACATGATATTATCTGTTTCTCCACCATAACATTATCATATAAGGTGTGTGTTGCATCAGGTTAAAGGGCTTCATGACGCCCTGAATGTTCACAGATACCATAGTTAGCTCTGTAATGTGTTGTGCCTTGCTGTGTAGCATAATGTCTGTAAATGGGTGAGATAGCAGGGATGACGGGGTCCAGGAAAGGCTGGTTAGGTAACATGGGATACGGTAACCCCCTGCTGTGGTAAACACACACACACACACACACACACACACATGTTTAACGACGGTAGAAAATGTCAATCCTGGCGTGAGATTTTACAGGAAACTCATTAAGCTTCTCTCAGTGTCACAGTGTTGGGATAATATCATGATATACAAACATCTATGGTATCTATATCCATGCAGAGTTTGTTTAATGAAAGCCGGAATATTTTTACTATAAACATCCTGCAGTAAGCTTGTACTAAATCCACAATATTTACCCAATATGTGCTGTGTACAGAACAAGCAAAGGCTTTAAGCGAGAACATCCTGCAAACAGTGGAGCTCTGATTCATCAGACAGCAGTAAACACAAGGCCAGAAAGAACAGATAATCCCTCTTTAATAAAACTGAATGATAGTCAAAGACTAAAAAATACATTTTCATAAATAGTTTTGAGAATTTCGCTTTTTTTGAATTTGGAAATCCCTCCAAAAGTCCCACATTTATCAGATGAAGTGAGACTTAATGCCTGTTTTCAAGGTGGACATTGTTACCAAAAGGCAAGAAAGAACACATAATCCTTTTTTAAATAAAAAGTAATGATGTTTAAAGACTAAAAAATACATTTTCATAAATAGTTTTGAGAATTTCGCTTTTTTTGAATTTGGAAATCCCTCCAAAAGCCCCACGATGATCAGGTATATTTAGTACTCACTGCTCTTTCAAGGTTGAAATTGGCCGACAAAAGCAAGAAAGAACACAGAATACATTTTTAATAAGTGTAATGATGCTTACAGATAAAAAACTAAACAAATTCCAACTAGTTTTGCTTGTTTTGCATTTGGAAATCACTTCAAAATTCTCACTATTATCAGATGCACTTAGTGGCTCAATCCTAGCTTCAAGGTGGAAACCTGTTGTCACTCATCACTCATCACACACACACACACACACACACACACACACACACACAACACAACACACACACACACACACACACACACACACACACACACACACACACACCACACACACACACACACACACACACACACAGTCACCCCCTGACTCCCGGTCTATTCACGGCGCACTAAAGCTGTTGTTATAGATGCCAGTGTCAGCTGACGGGAAGCTGAGGAGCTGATTTGACTTCAGAGGAATCACAATGTCTTTATTCTGCTCGTTAGATTAACATAACTCTGTGTTGGATACGTGGATACATATCTGACGTATCGCACATTGTGTGCAAAACCAAAATAGAGGACGTACAAACACAACAACAACTACAAATCGTCCTGTCAGCACCATGACATCCCAATTTATTTCCAGAGGCGGGAAAATGAACGTGCGGAGATTTATGTCTTCACCATGTCCTCAGTTCAGTCGTAAAAACATCAAAATCTTAGATCTCTGGCTTTGCACATTGACAGATAAATATATTTCTTGTTGAGTGATGTGACGGACTTCCATTCGTAGGTAAAAGGATTAAGGGAAGAGTAACCCTTACTGCAATTTAATACACTTAGGATAGTGGTTTTCTCCCATAACCTGTTAAGCCCTGAGCCTGTTTTTCAGGTCTCAGGCTCGAAAATGACATTCCCAGAACAAATGACTATATCTTCTCTTCTAAAAGGGGTACATTAATAATCTTTTTTCTCAAAGCAATGACACACCTGTGAGTTGGATGTAGAGAAGTCAGAATCAATATAGATGTTTTTATTTTAAATTAAATTCAGATTGAACATAGTAAAAACATGTAAATTATAATTTCCGTCCAAAAAACCCCATTACTTATAGAAAAACCCACCTCTGGGGTCATTTGGGTGGATTTGCCATATCTCTGGAACCCATCGGTGGATTTTGGTGATTGACACCTCTTTTGAACCGTTAGAGCCAATAGAATCGAGGGGAAGTTCCTAAATCCATCTAAACATTACCATTGGTGAATGAGAGTGATGCGCAGCAAGCACGCCCAAAACCGGAAGCTGGGTTACGATCTATAGAAAACTACGTTCATTGCCCTAAATGTTATGATGGATTATCAGTAATCATTTCAAAGTGACACAGAGACATTGGATTAACCTTCAGCAGTGTTTATATGCGTTGTAATGCCATTGAACACCTCTTTTGATCAGAAAACAGCAAAGGTAAGATGTATTTGCCGTTTTGGCCCCGTAAGTGAAGTTGTGTGTTGTCTTTGCCTAGCTGAGTTTCTTCCCGTTAAGTGGGTATGACACATTAATAGGTTGTTAAATGTTAAGAAGCCCTGAGACATAGTTTCGTAAAAAATTGTTCGATAGCCCCCGCCGGCAGGTTAAGATTCATGAACGATTACATCTGAAGCGTCGATTTACCTAAAAAAAACGGGGGAAAAAACGACAAGTTAAAATAAAATGGGGGACCATATAGCAAAAAGGTAGTATTTTTGTAGGTAGAATGACATTTATGTTTATTTTCTTATGTTTTAACATCTAAACAAAATAAAGCTTATATGCCTTGGTAAAAAGCATATCAATAAGTAAAAAAAGAACAGCAAAGGTGAACTTTGGAGTCCACACTGTTTAAAGTTTAAAGGAGAAATGCACCAAGAAAAAAACTTTTAAATATAATTTACTCACCCCAGAATTTAGATTTTCTCGCACACCTCCACCTGTGAACTAATGTGGAGTAATTGGTGTACAAATGATCATTGTGGGGGTGAAATATTATTTTAATCAGATTTGATTGCCCTGGCACCAAGAGCAACCAACCCCCTGCAGATTTTAATTAAAATACTGTTAATAAATCATAATTTTACATTTAAATAATAACATTTTCCAACTGAGCTTTGGCAGAAAATGTGTGCTCCTGCAGGGTCTCATCACTCATAGAAATTAGCTGATTGGAAAGAAAAAGTTTTTAGGGACCTCAAGTTCGCCAAATGTCCAATTTACCTAAAAGCATGGAAAAGAAACGAGCTTTTGAGTGCACATGCTCAACCTTCTAGCAATGCTTTCCTGTTTCTCGGGCAGAACCATGCAAGGATATAAATCATCCTGAAATAATGAAGTATATCTAAATGACTGTGTGCAAAGGCAGCAGATCTTCTCAGTATCATTACATCTCCATCACAGAGCCGAGATTTTATTACCTCACGTTATTTGATTAGAGGATGCACTCTGTTGTCTCCTGCTCTGATACGATGATTCAAAGACATAACATGTTCCCTGTCTCCCTTTTAAAAAAAAGGTACAAATTGGTTTGTTTGTTGTTGCGTGGGGGATAGATATTGGAAGTTGAATTTGATGTTAGCTTGTGGAGCTCAAAATGCCAAAATAATACATTTTGAAAACTCAACAGCAATGTCTCTCATAACCTTGTTGTGAACTCATGAACCCAGATCAATAGAGTGGTACAGGAATATCTTATTTATGTGTTGGACCCTGAA